CGGCCAACTCGCCGAGCTACAGGACCTTCTTTGGTCGTTCCCTGTGACCCTGCCCGAGAGTCCCGCGCCCAATGCAGCCCCTCCCACGCGCGGTCCAACCATCGAAGAGGTCGATTGATGACCTTGGCAACGCAGTGATTGTAACATTATTGATTTGATTGGTCTGTGTGGGAGAAAGCAACAAAGGAGATCGTGCGCACCATTGGCTTGGTCGTGAGCACGAAAGGGGGGATGTGATGGAGGCAGGGGGATGAGAGCTGACGGATACGGCCATACTGCGCAGAAAGCACCGCTTCCCATCCGAACAGCGAAGTTAAGCTGCGCCAGGCGGTGTTAGTACTGGGGTGGGCGACCACCCGGGAATCCACCGTGCCGTATCCTTTTGCTTGCTTGGGCTTGTTCTTCATTCATTACACCATTGCTTGTTGTGAGTGCTCCCCATCACTCTGCTTCCGAATGCCTCACCACCATCCCTCACCACTTCAGCCACGTCTGCCCAGCAATATCATGGGGCAACATGTGGATCAAAATCTTCACCCTCCCCTTTGTCATCTTGGTTGGTTGGTAGGTGAGGAAATGGAATGTTGAACTTCACCATGCCCTCATCACCACCCTGGAAGCTCAGCCCTCAAGTCCAGGAATAGGCATGAGTGCCTTCAAGATGATGTTCATCTTCAAGCTTAAGCCATAAGCCAAGGGCAAGAGGTAAAGTTCTTGATGATGGGAGTGAAAGTCTTGTGGTAGTTGACATTCCATGTCTGCATGGAGTCTGTGGACAAAGCAGTGCTTACCTCCTGAGGAGTGCAATTTTTCATAAATGTTTAGCAAATCACAGGAGAGGAGGTATCTTTTTTTTATAAATTAGAGGCCATGGCTTTGTAGTAGCTTGATGGAGTGAAGTTGGAGTTGGCTGTGTGACAGTGGTACTTTTGATTTTTGGACAATGTACAAATAATGGATTGTGAGGGGGTTGAAGTGGCCATAAAATAGAGTGACCAAAAATGCCTCTGAGATGATCTGAAAAAGTCATCATAAAAAAAAATGTTGATGTGGAAATGAGGTCACAATCATGCTTAGTAATTTTGTTTCCATTTTTGGCCTAACAGCTACACCAGGAGTATCTTGCAGTAGTGGGGCTTGATGTGCCATAGCTGATGCTGACAGTCTGATACACAAAGAGAGCAAAAAGAGAGTGAAAAAGGTTATGGCACGCTCAATGGTGTAATGAATGAAGAACAAGCCCAAGCAAGCAAAAGGATACGGCACGGTGGATTCCCGGGTGGTCGCCCACCCCAGTACTAACACCGCCTGGCGCAGCTTAACTTCGCTGTTCGGATGGGAAGCGGTGCTTTCTGCGCAGTATGGCCGTATCCGTCAGCTCTCATCCCCCTGCCTCCATCACATCCCCCCTTTCGTGCAAGCTGCCGATCACAACTCACCAAAAAGCTGGTGGGCGTGCACCACCATTTTCTTGTTCTTTCATATCTTCTTCGTTTTGGGTCTCACCACTCTCCCATTGACAAGCCCAGTTGTGGGAAAGGTGGTATTTACTCAAGTATTTACGTGTATGTACATGGAGGAGGGGTAAGGAGGTCAATCAAACAAAAGTACAGGGTTGGGCGGGCGATTGCCAGTGCTCCCGCTTTCGCTTGTTGCCCATGTCGTGGTAGTCGTTGGTAGCTGGGGCGAGAGGCCGATACGAGTGCGACGGCGCAGGCTGCTGGGCCGCCGGCATTGGCGATGGCAATGAGGGAAGGAGCAGGAGCGAAGAGAGCGAAGGCAGAATGTTCGAGGGCTGCCTCGGCGGAGGCGGGGTCGCTTGCAACGACGAGGAAGAGGGCGAGGAGTGGCGGGCCTGCGATGGCACGGCCGAGTGGTAACCGTTGTTGCTGGCGCTGCTGTTGTTGTGATGGTGGTGGTAAGGCGTGTCGGGGAGTGAGCCCCGGAGGGACCGCTCCTGGTAGGCCGCGACCTCGGGCATGGGTCGGCTGGGCTGCGGCGACTGTTGCGCGGTGGCCTGCAGCACGGCGCCCAGCTCCTGCCGGAGAGGCGGCAGACACTGCGGCTGCGGCGAGCGCACCGGACTCTCCTGTCCCTTGGCCTGTCGGCGGTCGTTGCTGCTGCTGGTCGTCGTGGTCGTCGTGGTCGTGCATATCGCGATCGCCGCAGCCGCCTCTCTTTGAGCTTGCCAGCCGTTGTGGTGGTGGTGGTGGTGGTGGTTGTTTCTCGTCGGTAGGGCCGAGGCAAAGTGCTGCGGCGGCTCGCGGTGGATGGTGCGCTGCGGGTATTGCTTTTGTTGGTGGTTGCGTGCGGGGTCCTCGATGGTGATCTCCCACTGGCTGAAGGACGAGGGCGACGAGTGCCGCCGGGCCGAATCCTCGTCGCTGTAGCAGGCGTCGATGCACTTCACCAGCATCTCCTTCGTGCCGCCCTGCTCCTTGAACGCCTTGATGGCGGCGATGAGGTTGACGTGCACACTGTCGTGTTCGATCTTCCTCGCCTTCTCCCTTCCCTGCTGCATGTTGTCTTCCTCGTCCGAGCTGTGC